CCTGAAGTTCCGCGCAATTAGCTTCATACCATTTGAGTGAAAACCTCGGAGAAGATTCCTACCAGTTTCTCGCAGACGTGATCCATGACGCTCATGACGGCATCCGGGTTCCACCAGGAAGGATCCTGGATACTCTCGACCTCGCCTCTCATGACGATGATTTGACCGGCGGGAATGAGCTTGCCACCCGCATAGGCGGACCGCAGGTGATTGGGAACACCGGAAGGAGAGACATCACCGTTCAGGGCCTGTGTCAGCCGGTCGATAAATTTCGTCCGCTGACCAGGAGTGAGGACATTCGGAGGACTGGAAGTGAGTACAAAGTTGCGATCCAGGTCGACAACCAAGGCATCCGTGGGAGCGTTGAATAGCGTTCGGCATTCGGCGGTGACACCCAGAATATAGGGACCAGGCTCTTGAACAAGGTCCTTGATGTGACGAGCATGAACCACAGGAACATAAAGGCCGCTCCATTCGTAGACTCGAACGCAGTACCGAACGGTTTCAGCGGCGATAGTCAGCATAGCTGGGTAATGACTGACAAAGATGATCCGACGAGTTGGCGACACTGCAGCCTCGACCACGCCCACAACGTTTGGGATGGACAGGCAGGTGAACAAGGGCCACATGGCAAAGTTTTGGAAACCGGTGGGCGATGAAGGGAACTGATAGCACAAGGCGTAGTCCTTCATGTCGATACGAACAAGATCGTTCAGGCGTGGAGCAGGGAAGCTCAGAATTCGCGAGACCTCCTCAGCGTGGAAAAGATTGGTGGCCTTGTTCCAGTGAATCCACATGCCACGCAGGTAATCGCCAAGCAGATCGTAAAGAGGATAGCGGGAAAGGAAACTAAGACAGTAAGGGATCCAGTAGGTCTCATCAGGGTTGTCATAGAAATCGCCTTCCGTCTTCTTGCGCAGCTCACGAATTGTTTCGGCGCGCTTTTCATCCGCTCGAGACCACACACGCAATGCGATGCCGTAGAGGGTATGTGATGAATCTTGTTGCAGGACAAAGGCATGGTGGACACAGTGAGGCTGGCTCTTGCCTGTGCAAATTTCCACATCATGAGGAAAGCAGGCCTGTTGCAGTCAGCTTCCAGTCCCTTGCAGCGTCTGCTTCAATTCTTTTTCCTTTTGAAAGATTGGMAAATATTCTGAAAAATTTTCTTACCCTCATTGCCGAATGTAAGGCTCTAGCAATTTCATTGTCCTGCTCCAATCTAGGGCTGCTTCCCAGGATTTCTGGCAACCAAAATTGTCCCACCGCACCTTTCATGTGGCCGATCTTTCCCTGCTCTGGGGCGGGAGCCTTCACCCATTGCGAGGGCTCCCGGCCCACACCGCACACCATATAGGCATGGGTGAGAGTTTTGGGTGTGCGCTGCGTGGGTTTTGCGTTCACTTGCGAGGGGATTGGTTGGGTAATGCGGGAATGAAGCGAGGAGGTGCGACTAGGAACGACCAGCGAATTCTCTCCTTGGTCACGAGTTACCGGCCGATCGCGAGTCGATGGACGGACAAAGGACGAGTGATCTCTCAGAGATGGGCCCATGATGAAGACTAATAGGAATGGTGCTTTTTGAATTATTTGGCAAGTGTTGATCCAAGGTATACGGGACCTGACTCGGCGATAGAATTGAATGATAGAGATATAAAACGAGGTTATAGAAAGTTGGTATAAGAGATTTCTGACCGAGAAGCTTAGAATTGCAGCGCTTCTGAAGGCTGACCAAGAACAAGCAAAAAGAAGGACGAAATGTTGAATAAAAGAGGTCTGTACCAGGCGAACCAAAGGAATGAGAGAGCCGAGCCAAACAGCTGATATCGAGTGAGAGGCTTCTACTGCTCACAGGTCGAATTGATGAGCATTTCCCAAACCTTTCAACACGCCTTGCAACGAAGAGTCAAGACGTGTAGAAGAGAACGGGGAGCTCTCTTCTGTAGCTGTAGGGGTAACCGGCGATGGGAGCGGGGAGGGGGTGAGTTGACGATACGGAAGAGGGAGGGACGGAGAGGGAGAAGGAGAAGGAAGACAGAAAGACGACGGGAATAGAGCTAAGAAAGGAACGGGAGGAGAAAGGGAAAGGGCTCAGGGGAGACAAGGCCAGTCAGGTACTCCGTAGGTACTAGGGGGCGGCTCGGATGAATATTACAGGTTAAGACTAGGAGAATAATACTAGCTGTAGTAGTAGTAGCACAGAGTAGTCAGTCTGCTGTGGGTGCTAGTCCAGGGTGGTCTAGTTTATTTACTGAAATATCGCACACGAATAAAAGGATTATTATAGGTTAAGCACGCTTTGATAGCGCTGACTGCGGAGTCGTTTGCTGTCTGTTCCTGCGCCAGTGGATTTGGCTAGTCAGGGACCATGACGGGAGGAGAAAGCCGACGAAGACGACAACGAAGAAGGAGAAGAAAAGAAAGTCCGGAGTACAGGGGAAGATAATTAAAAGTTTAGAATCCAGCCCAGCGAATGCTGCCGATGCTGGTGGATTTGATATTCAACCCGGATGATACTCATGATAGAGACTGATAGTCAAAAAGAGGAGCACGAATATCTATCTCGAGCCTCCGCAGATTTCAGGGGATCAATTAAGTTTGAACACTGCGGACAGTGGTAGAACCAGACGGGGTTACCCCCAACTATCCTGATTTCAAATCGAACAAATTCTTGATGATACAACTAATTAACTCAAATAATTTCCAGAGCTATGCGGGGCCTCCTTTATTTCCCACGCCAAGATGGATCTTGGATTCTTCGTCTTGTTCCACGGGTTGAAACTCCGGAATCCGTTGCAATGTCTTATATTCCGTATTTGGGGGAGAAACAAGGCAGATAATAGGGGACTGACATGGACAGTCTACACCCTCAATCAAATTGTGAATAGAGAGTAATCATCACAGAACAAGAAGAATGAGCTTGTCTTGTCCCGACCATGTCTCATTACTTCAAGAAAAAGGGTGCTAGCAGGATTTCTCCGCGCCGACCGAGGGGAGTCTCCCTTTCATGCATCATGTACGGACTGAATCCATCATGAACCCAAGCGTATCACAAGAGAAGCGATTCATAAATATGGGATAGTGTCATATAGATACTCCACAGAAGTACTCGGAACCTGGACTTGAATTCTGAGCTCAACTTGACAGACAAGCCATACCAAGACACATTCAGGGGTTCTGAGACAAATCCATGCAATGACTGCCGGCTAATATGACCATGTGCAAGCTAGCTTCTGACGTGTAGACTGTTCCAACTATCGGCCGTTGTCCTTTGTCTGTATCATATTCCGGCGAGATTATCCGATTATCGTTGATTGTCAGACTTGAAGGACTTGAAGGACTCGAGGGACAGTGAGCGCCCAATACTGGTAGCTGCTTGATGATGCCCCCAAAGTCCAAAGTCCCAGGGTGAGTGGCATTATGATGGTTAGGGGTAGTAGGACTCTCGTTGATAACCAGTTTGTTATCCTGTTAGTCCATCCCACAACTCGATCTCATCTCGCTGGGATTCAGATAGAGAGACAGGGGTCTGCAGCCAATTACCACAACCTGAGAGACCGTGCAGAGTAGTCTGAAGTATTCAAAAGGGCAATATCCATCTTCAACATACTACTGACTTTTTGTGATCAGTCCCTCATCCCGACGGTAATAATTAAAACAAAGTTCATCTGTGCGAATTGCCTCGAGATGCCTTGCAGATTGTTGCCTATCATGGATAGGGTGCTTGACTGACTCTGCTGATCTGTTACTTCTTTGTATGTTCCGAGTTCTTGCAGTAGTCAAAGTCTCTTTGATCGGAGATATTATTTTCTAGGTATTGTTGCTTTGATGCAGCAAGCCGAATACCTGCGAGCGTCGATCTCATTTCCTTTTTCCAGTTGTTGGTAACCATTCGCACTCATGGGTAGCTATCGTCAGCAACCTTTGTATGGAAATTCACGAATGCGCCCATGGTTCGCGAGCATGGGTACTGATCCCGGCCAACGCCTTAGTTCCCAGGTGCCAATCACCAGCTTGGTTCCCTGAGCTTGAACGCTGAAGTGACAGTCTGGACTCTGCAAACTATCAGTAGACTGATATTTTAATCAAAACAAATCATGACCCGATATTCGAGTAAATGCTGTGCTCTTGGATCGGGTCGTTTGGACTGACGACCTAAATAACGCCAAACACGCAAGATATTATCTGCCCCAGACGGCGCCACTACAATCAGACTGTGAGCACTGCATTTTTAGAACTTTACCTACACTGGTATCCGTACAGAGTAGAGTAGTAGATAAAACATTCCTCTAGCAGGATTGCATTCGAGCAATATAAGTCAAACCACCCCTAAGTGTCCATTCCCAGACTCACAAGTAGTCCTATCGTTAGGTAATAACTCCTTGTGTATGTCCGATTTCTCCTCAACTCAGACGCTCAAGTGACCAGTCAGTACTGGATCCTTACCTTCTCTCATATTTATGCATGCAGAGCATGGTCAAGAAGAGCTCGCTGTCGAAAACAGCTAGACAACCTTTTCACCAAGGTACAAGTTCGTTCGTTCTAGCTATCCACACTCGACTGCCGATCCATGAGTTATCCACCAAGCGAGCGTTTCACCATCCCCGCTTCGGATCCACTCCTACACCTGCTCATTATTACTCTGTGCTACGACTGACTCTCAGTGCTCAATCGATAGCAGGTAGCAGGGACTGCCCGGCAACTCCGGGATTCGAGAACTGGGAGCTTGCAAACTGGGATTCTCTTTTGATTTTTGTCGATGGAACTCTATCTAGACGGATGGCTTGTTTTCGACTCTAGCAGGCTCCGAGAGCTGCTCCCTCGGAAGTGAAGGGATTGTGTGTAGCACAGCATGGGAGTTCTGGCTCTTTAGGCTACGTGAATAAATCGAACGGTTTGCAAATGGTCAGACGCGAACGAGCCAATTAATCATCAAGTATCGACAGCTTTGATCACTGTCAACTCGGAAAATCTATAGTCAAGCTATCTAGTTACATGGCTCATTGAAAGACATACACCATTCCCGCTCGGTCCACGCTGATGATCATCCCATATGGCACCCTCAACACCGCTACATCCTGGATGAAATCCAGATGACTCTTCAGCAATTGCTGCTGCTGCAGACTGATCACTGTACTACGTGGAAGCCTGGCACCGCCCCCTTTCTTGCTGCTGCCCTTGTTCCCCGCACTGCTAGCCGCTGGAGGGCCGGGAATGTGTTCTGTAGTCACGAGTAGATTCGGCAGTGGTTGAGACAACTCGTAGCGTGGCTTGCCGCTCATCCCCCCTTCCGACACAATGTCCTGGCCGCTGACAATACTAGAAAGCTCGGGCCGAGCTAGGTCCCAGAAGCGGATCTTCCGGTCGCAACCCGCCGACACGATAAATCCGCATCTGGTGCTGTTGTCCTTGCCATCCTCTGGCGAGTCATAGCCAACGGCAAAGGCGCAGATACCGGCAGGAGTGCTGGCCGCCGATGGCCCCGAGGACTCAATGGCCCCCGACAATGGTCCCTCCGTGCCGAACCGACTGAGCATTCCTTCCGGCCGGTCGCTCTCGACGTGCCAGGGCTCATAGTCTCTGGTGCTGGCAAAGGCTGATTTCGCCTTGGGGTTATCAACTGGAGAGGCGGCAGGTCCTCCGTTGCCAACTGCATTGCTGCCGGGCGAGTCGGCATGGTATACCTCGCGACAGCGAACTTTTTCAATATCCCAGACTGTAATCTCGTTGCCGCGGCTCCCACTGCTCGAGACGCAAACCCACCGCCCACGTCCCTTTGTAGGATGTACCTGGAGCCTGAGGATAGCACCCGAACCTGGGAGACCCCAGGCCTTCAGACGCACCCGAAACCGGAGGTCCCAGAGATCAAGGACTCCATGCGTGGTCCCTACTAGCAGCCAGTTATGCTTTCGGTCACAGCAGAACGTTGTCGGTGTGCCATGATGGACAGGGTTCTGCAATGAATAGATGGGAAGCATAGTCTTCATATCCAGAGCCAGGATGCGGCAGGTGTTGGTCGCAATCAACAGCGTGGATTGTGCATCAGAGCGGAAATGTTCGATCCAGAGCGCGTACTCGACAGACCCATCGTCAGTTGCCGGCAGTTGGTACTCACGTACGAGCTGGAGCTTCCCGTATCGAACCGTCTCATTGACGTTATGGTAATCAACCTTCACGACATGGATGCTCCCATCAGTGGCACCGCTAATGAATGCATGAGTGTTCTCGACAAAGGTCAGCGTCTTCACCTTGGCCTCGCTGGAGTGACGATATGTTTGCCGGGACCTAGGCGTCAGGTTCTTCTCGAGTCGCGTAGTATCCCAGATCTTGACGGTTCCATCATCCGATGCAGTGATGAAAAAGGCGTGATCTGGAGCTACCACCACCCGATTCACCGGTCCACTGTGCTCGCCAAAGAGTGCGACGAGACTCCCTTCTGGCTTCCAGACTTTGTTCTCGCCGTGGCCGCTGGCCTTCTTAATCGGGCGGCGAGGGTCTGCCTCCTTGACAAACGGACCAAGATCGAAAAGGTCAGTGGGGTAATTCTCTGCGAAAACGCTGTCCAGCAGCCTGAGAATCACCGGGTCGTTGCCTGCGTAGGAATGACTAGCACGGTAGTGCTGCGGTTCATTGAGTCGAGCTTTCTTTTCGTGCGCCAGAGTCAATGCTGACGGCTGTGGTGAGTGACGCTGGGATGGCACATCCACTTTGCCGAATGCATTTGCCGAACTCGTACTAGTTTCCGCATACGCTTTTGATGATTCTTTGCGATTGAGGAGACTGATCGCGCTTGACTTCCTCTCCACGTGGGTTGTGAGATGATTGTTTTTGACAGCCGGACTTCCCGCTTCCGTTGGAGTCGACGGGCTGTCCTGCCCAGGACTCTGTCTGCCCACGCTGCCCCTTCGTTCCGCATCGGAGTTGGGAGGCGATAGGGGACGAGGTTCTGCAGCACTTGGTGACGATGCCACCGGGGAGAGCCCATGAGGATTCTCAGCGCGAAGATTGTCATGTGCCTCCTGTCTTGGGGTCTCGTTGGCGTCCCCTGCATCTCTCTGCAGCTGGCTGCGCGTCCTCAAATGTCTCCGACGAGCGTGAGATGCGCTGTCAATGGTAGTTGACGCATCCAACAAGGCATCGGTGATAGTGTGCGGCTTGCGTTCTCCCAATCCAGCATCGTCAACTTTGGGTAAGAGAGTACCGTGGGGCTTGACGCTCTGTTGCTTATCAAAAAAGACTGTTTGAGGTGTCACTCCGTATTGAGTCAGGGCAATTACGTTGTTCAGTGAGGACACCGCATTGTCGGAGTCTTTCATCTGGCGCAAAGACACACCCCAAATGTAGCCTCGTAGAGCGAGCAACTTGAATTCGTCATCTGGACCGAGTCCCATGTTCCTTAGCCTAGATAGCCACTGCTCATCCTCCTCGTTTTTGGGTTGCGCGCTGTGTGAGAAGTTTGGGATCTTTTGGCCTCCCTTCGGAAGAAAATGGTCAGTGCCGCCCACACTGAACACTTCATCTCGAGCTGTCGACTTCCAGAAAAGACCTTTCTCCGCTTTAGAAGCCCAAACGAAGGCCAGGTCATAAACACTCCTTGATAATGGTTTCTTGAGACCATCAAGCAGTTTCTCTTCGGAGAAAACTACAATGTTGACTCTCAAGTATGGTTGGACGAGAGGGCCCAGGATTGAGTACTTGTCGGCAACGGACAGATGCTTTGCGCTATTGATGATGAAGCAAACGGCTGCTTCACGAATCCACGTATTTGGATGGACTAAGAAACGCACGACGATCTGGAGGACCTCCCAAGTGGTCGATCGCTGGAAAAGACCAAGGTCAGCCATCGCTGCCAGGGACCGAAGCACTCTCTCAACAACAAATTCCTCGGGCTCGGTCATAGATTGAATCATCAAAGGCAATATGTACTGCTCCAAACTCGTACTTCCAGCGTAAGCTGCGACTCCGACTACTGCTTCAAAGAACGCACATTTTAAGATCCAGTCCCGATCATTCAAATAAGTGTTCAGATGACTCAAGATCACTTCGTTCGTCTTAAGGTTGCCGAAGAACACACACAGACTGGGCACTGAGCCTAAGAATGCACGGCGGACAGATGTGTCGGTGTCGGTAAGGAGAGCTTTGGTATGGTTCTCAAAATATTCGAGAAGGTCTACCCTCGCAACGTCATAGAGATTGTGAAAGGTGGCATCCTCGGTCCATCTTGGCTCGGACCCGGCCGGTATAAGGGCGGAAAGACGAGTATCAGAGCGCAGAGCCTGGATCATATCTAAGAATCTCAGAGAAGATTGCGCTAGTGAAGAGATGCAGGAGGCATACGCAGCGCGCACCATCGGGCTGGGATTGGAGCTGGAGCTAGAGACGAACGGTTGCAGCCGAGGGAAGATGTATTCTGGAAAGAGATACGCGTTCACCGGCGAGACGACCTGCACCATCTCCAGTAGCTGCGCAAGAGCACGAATGGCAGCAACTTTCACACTATCCGTGCGGTCGTTTAGAAGGATCATAATGTAAGGCAAAATACGATCAAGCTTCGCCTCATCCGACAATCTCTCTGCAAAAGCGAGCAGGATATCGCAAGCTTTGATTCGGGCAGATGCCCTTGCTGTGTTGCGCAGACTAGACACGACAAGGGTTAAGAAGATCAGAACGCCATCGTCAGTTCGGAGCTGAGACTTCGCAGCCTGTGGCCCGTAGTTCGGGAGATCAAGGTGGATCGGGAACCCGTTCCCAGTAAGCCTGGAGTTACTGCGACCGGAGCCGTCTTTCACAGGCCTCGAAGATGCACTCAGGAAGTAAGAGATTTTATCAAAATCGTAGTAAACCCTCTCAATCCTGTCATCTGACTCGCCCCGGTTTGCTGATTCCGCTTCCACTTGCGCCCTGCCCGACGAAGGGTCTGTCATCAAAGACATGTACTGATGAAGAAAGCTGTAGAAATACTCCGGAAAAGCTTTATTTTTCCAAAAGTTCAGGTATTCTTCAGCAGAATATCTCGACTCTGGCTCAAGCTGAATCATGTGGAGGATCATCTCTCGGATCTCCGGGTCCTCAATTTTGACCAGCTGGCTGTGTTGCGGACTGTATTCGCCTTTGCGGTATTTATACATCTGGCTTAGGGTGAAGATGGGCGCTTCTAGAAACAGCTCTGCAATCACGCAGCCAGCACTGAATATATCCATGGCCCAGTTGAGACGCCTATTCCCTGGTTCCTCACCGGCCTCGAGGAACCGCTCAGGGGCCAGATAGCACGTTCGTCGACCTGAGGTATCAAAATAAAAAGAAAAGTCTGCAGGATTGTCCTGCGGCAAGAATGTGGGCTTGAAAGACGAGGAGAAGTCTGTGAGGTACAGCCAATTCCATGATGTCACCAAGATGTTCTCTGTCTTGATGTCGCCATGGAAAACATCCAATGAGTGACAATCCCGAAGAGCACATAAAAGTTGAAATGCAATCCATTTCTTCTCGATTTCTTCTGGAAATGGTCGAGTGCTACCGAGGTCAGAAAATTTCTGGCTGATAATATGTACGAAGCATACCTCATCCGGTCATATAGAGAGCTGTGAATATATTGGCGAACCAGATAACCCCCGGTGCCGGTCTCCAAAATTCTTTGATGGCTCAAAGCATTTGGGACATCAGAAAGTAGCTTGCGCTCCCCTAGTACGCTGTCAGAGTATATCCAGGGCTGTTGCACGGCAAAAACAAACTCACGAATGATGGCTTTGACATAGGACTCTAGCTTCATGCTGGGGTAAGGCTTCATGATTACCTTTACAAGAACGAGGCCATTTTGCTGTCTTGCTCGGATACTTTTCATGAACCGGCCGCCACCCATAGACCTCTCATACATCAGGTCTGACAGCTCGGGGATATCTATCCCAGCCGAACCCGTTGAAAGGGTTGTGAGGGAGTAGCCTTGCCCCATAGTGTCGCGACGACCTCATCTCAAGAGCTAACAAGAATCACGAATTTCATCCACTAAGAGCAGATAGAGCTTCAAAATAATCTCCGAGACACAAGCCTACAACGTTGATAGAGTTGATATTGATATCGAAACAATCTGTACGCAAACTCTCTGAATAGATACCCACTAACCATCATGTCCTGACATAAGAGTCGGGTGACGGCGAGGACGGAGTCACATGACATTCAGGCGGTGTGTAGCTACTCCTTGCAACGCCCATTGTGCCGTATCAACTGGGCCAAGTCTTCCCCATTAATTGCTTGTTTTTCTTTGGATAGGTCACCAATTTCAGAAAATCTACCTTACCTCTCCAGAAGTAGATCTTGGAGATTCGTTCGTGCGCCGCCGAATGATGTTCCTAGAGTTTACCAGCAAATTACATCTTCCCCCGCATCTTGAAGTTGAAGAGTCCTTTCGAAGGTTAACCGTTTAAGATCCTCAAGTGGTCTAACATCAAGATTCAAGCTAGCACCGCAAGTTAACTAAAGTACGGAGTAGATTAGTCTTTGGCGTCCAATCAAACAGTTTCGTCAGAGAGACAGCTGGGCCGTCCTTCTCCCTGAGTTTCCCACCCTTTCAACAAAATAGGAACGACTTGAATGAATTTTTGCAATTCGGCTCCTGAATTATGGGTCACTTCGCCTGGTGTAGGCTATAAGAAGGCCAGTGACAGTGTCAAGGGCTTGAACTGAATTTCTCTCACCGACACAATTAAACGACGGACCTACTGATCGTCGGCGACATAACGTCATTTTTGGTTATTGTAGGACACTTCGATCGCGTCGCGACCGTTTCGGGGAGGGCAAAGTAGCCGGTTGTCGCAAGACTCGAAAAAGCATTTGCGAAGGAGACTGAACGATTGCTTCCAACCAGCGTCCATCAGGATGGATGCGACGGCAACACCTGTCTTACCGTCTAGCGACGAATATCCAGAGATTCCTATTATCGATGATAACGAGAGTCTTGCCGAGGTGATTCGGAAACTAGGGAAGTAAGTTCAGCATGCACTTGCCCAACCTGTATCGGCGGGTCTAACTTGGCATGTCACCAGTTACCTCAATGTAGCTGTACCTGATGTTGCATGTACATTTGAGCAGCTGAGATCTTCTGCCTATGGACTCAAGCTCCGACTCCTCATAGGCTCTCTGGCCGAGAATTCACACAATCCTTGGATTATCTCTGCTTTGATGTAAGTTGAGACCGAATTTATCCTGCAAAAGAACCACTGCTGAGGATCGCTCGTATCAGGATCTTGAAATGGCAGTTAAACAACGAAGACAACGACTCCGATTGGGGGTTGAGCGAGACTCGGGGCTATGCGTGTGAATACGTCGCCTGGCAGTTTCTTTGTCACCTCACACGACGAGAGATGATAGATGTACTGCTTGAGGAGCTTCCCTCTCCCAGACGAGACTCTACAACAATCTCACAGGCCGAGCAAGGTGCATCTGGACTTGGGTCAATCTCCCATGAAGATGAAGGCAACGAGGCAGAAGGTGAAAGGACTCCGCTATTGTTGAGCTCTTCCTCGTCCCTCTACCGATTCTTTGTCGGCAAAAACCACCGAGGTGACTCTTACAATCCGGGATCCCGGGGCTCGTATTATGATGATCCCGAACTTCATTCCTTATCGCCCTTTTTTGGTCTCAACGCTCTGGAAATCGCAACAATCGCCCACGCTAAAAAGTTTCTCAGCCAGAAGCCTGTTCAAAGGGTGATAGACGATATCTGGAACGGGGAGATTGTTTTTTGGGACTCATTAAGTGTACATTCTAAGAAGAAGCCTCAGTTTTTCAACAAAAGGTAAGACATAATCTTCCAGGCATTTACTGTTCACTAATATTTTTGCGCTTCGCGCTACAGGACTGCGGATCCATACTCGAGATTACGAGTTCCAAGGTATCGAAAAGCGTTTGAGGCCGCTTTTTTTGTTTCTTTCTTGTTTCTATACTACACAGTCCTTGTTGAGAGAAAACCTACCGGCATAGGCATTTTCGAGACGTTGATGTATGTCTGGATAGCTGCCTTTGCTTATGATGAACTGAGTGGCATGGCCGACGCGGGGATGCTCTTCTACCAGATGGATTTTTGGAGCCTCTGGAACTTGGGTATCATTGCCATTGGGCTCGCCTTTGTTATTGCGCGTGAGTCATTCGCCCCTGGAACAATAGCTGGGCCGGTAGCTCTTCCGCGAAGGCGACAAGTATGCATCGCTGTTCCGGTCTCCTTACTGATCTGGGCTCGCAGGTATCGTTGGACTGGTCAAGGAGAGCGATTATATCACGGACTTATCATTCGACATACTGTCATTGGAGGCTTTGTTTTTGGTTCCAAGGCAAGGCTTCAGCTATCACGACGATTGATTTGACGCTTCAGCTCACAACGTTGACTAACTCGAGCGATTCACAGGATTTGCTCACTAGTGAGCTTGAACCCGTACTTTGGCAGCTTGGTACGTCGGACTACCTTCTTCATGCTGGGAAACCACCTTCTGGAACACATACTGACAAGCTGCTGCGCATAGATACCTGTTTTGAAAGAGATGGTACCGCTCTCAATATCTCGGGGTACGCCGATTTGTGCAAGGCTGATTGATATGTTCTAGACCAAAGCCTTTTTCAGGTTCCTTCCTGTGGTCGTCGTTTTGTACATTGGTGAGTAGCTGAAGGGCTCAGGTCACGTCGAACTATGCCTCGTGCGAGCTGAACTTCCTGACAGGGTTCCTGACGACATTCACTATGCTTGCCCGTGACCGACTGTCTCTGCGGCAAATGTCATGGATTCTTGTGAAAGTATTCTTTGGGTATGTCGGTGAAGATACCTATTTCCGACCGCTCTTTTGACTGACAATGCGAGGCAGATCGAGTGTCTTAGGATTTGTACGCTTCTTCCTGGTTGTTCTGTGGTAGAAGAACATTCTTTACTGACGGTGGCTTGATCGATTGGCTATTAGGACATCGCATATGATGTAAGTCTGTTGCTCTAAATGGCTGCCATCCACGATGTGACAGGATGCCGACGGGTTTGGCAGAATTGATAGGCTCTCGTGTTAAGATAGCTAACGCGCTAATTTCTTAGATTTCCCCGATTTTTGGCTACAGTTTGATGTGAGTTTGACAAACTTCTCCTACTGCGCCACACGAACCATTTGGAAAGTCACCGCATACAGTTTTAATCACGTTCAAGCTTGAAGTGGCTATGAATCTCGTCTTTCTTTTCTATTTCTTCTTTTTCTTTTAATTGGTTCGTTTGCTTTTTGTCTTCAATTTCGAATTATTATTATTTTTTCTTTCCCGGGTTGTTGCTGGGGTTGTGGTGTGTGGGGTTGGCGCAGTTAGACGCCCGCCACCACTCACCCCCCAAACGAGCCGCCTGACAATTGGATATACACGAAGCTTTCTGAAGGAACTTCGAAAGTGGAGAGAGAAAGAAGGATGGCAAAAAGCACAAAACGAAGAGATGACTAATGCCCACACTCAACAGGCTCTTGTTCGTGTCAATGACAAATTTGTTATTGATCTCCTCTCTGGTTAGCTTGATGAGCATGAGTCTAGAAGGGGTGCGTTTATTTCGACTTGCTTTGGAATCTCTTATGCAGATTGCTAAATCAACCTGCATATAGGTCATGGCTCATGCACGGGAAGAGTATCTTTTCCAGTTCGTAGCACCCCTGTCGCGCCTACTGATTCGATCTCCAACAGTCGTTAATGTGTTGCCAATAGGTTATCCATTTACGTCCTAGAAAGCAACAACTCTAGGAGACTAACTTATTTTATGCCACCTTTGGTAAGTCCTATCGTGGCTAACCTAACCCAATGAGCACCGCTTGGCCATTAAGCTACCGACTTTGGCTTGGTTACTCATATTAGACTTTATACCAATGCTAAACGGCGCAGAACCTCATTCCACTTCTCTGCATTCGGCCCCTAAGGCTGTTTCTGTCCGCCGGGCATATCCGTCGAGTTCGCATCGTTCTTCTCCGGGCAACCCACCTTCCTTTTGTTGCCTTGATCTGGGCTTTTGAGTCTAGCCGCCGTTATGTCTCGCAACGACACAATCAATTTCCCCCTACTCAAGCGACTGGACAGCCCACCCCTTCCATACAGGCTAACTTCCCTTTCTCCACGCACCACGCTCCGCTCCATGGCTCCACAGTCCATACTTCGCAGCTGGGTTGTGGGAAATCCAAGGGGTCGACTAACGCGGCTCAGCATCCGGAAGAAGCCCGCGGAGCGTGTGGACTGTCCCCAGGTGAGGCCGGGCGTAATGACTTGGCGGATATGATCGACGAGCTGGAACGATTGCGCACCCAAGTGGACCGCGTGGCAGCTACAGTAGCTTTCCACCAACGAAATCGACTGTGAGACCGTGGAGCAGTAATTAGAGCAGAAAATAAGAGCATGCTAGATATTCTGAGGCTAGTTACTTCGTCGACTAGTTTCAGATGTCCATTTGAACAGACCACGACCTAAATTGATAGACACACGCACTGACTGGATGGCTGGCGCCATGATCTAAAAGACTAGCGCGAGCACCGGCCACCGACAAGTCTGACTACTAATTATGGTTCAAGATGTGGCCTTTGGATGTCGTTATTATTGCTTAGATGCCTTGGTATATGCAGATAGTGTCTGTGGATAGAAAACAAGTAAATATGTATAAAATTATGGAAACCCGGTAGATAACTGTCGGCCATTACCGTCTGCCCCTTAAGTCTGTTCTTATCACGCCTTTGTTGAAATTCCTTTCTTAACCCTAACAGGTATGCCTGAGTCATTCCCGTCTTTTGAAGATTTTCATGATCTCCCTTGGCATTGCAAGTATATCTATCTTTACTACATGAGATGAAGAGTATTGGCCCCTGGAGAATTAATCAAAGACTGAGTCATTTGCCTTGAGGTAACTAGTCCGAGCGCCATCATCCTCAAATCAACAGGTACCTTCTAGTATAGATAAGGTATAGAGTCACTTTTGGTAATTGAAACATTTACTTGGCAGTCTGGTTGTGAAGAGACACTATCAGTAGTAAAGGTACTTTGTAGGCAATGCCCCTCTTTTCCCTGTTCCTGAGCGGCTCGACCAGGTGCCTGCTTCTTCGTCTTCGTCTTCCTCTCTTCTCTCCCCATCGGCAACAACGTCTTCTGCATCAACTTTTGCAACCATGACCAACCGCTTTTCAGTCTCCCAACATCACATCCTGCAGGACTCCCTTGTTTCTTCACACTCTGGCTTCTGTTCCCAACTCTTGATTTCTGAGATTCCGCAGCTGTGCCAATCACACCAGGCGACACGCACTGCTCATTTGCCAAGCAAGGTACCAGACTGTCGGGTCGCAACTAAACCTCTTTGATGCTCGTCTCACAGCTGGATAAGACGAAATGAGTGACCAGGCGGCGATGATCGGGGGAAACCAAGGTGGCAGTGGCATTCCCTCGCCCCCCAGACACTAGGAGGACGCGGTTATTCCAGTCGCAGAATGTGAAGAGAGAACGCTGAAGCACTTATCAAATTATTCTACCCATCCCGTCCTACCAACTGGTCTTCCTTCACTCTCATGCAACCCCCCGGTCCTGTGGCCTGCTAAGATAGGTATTTTCCCTCTCTCATCACCAATCCATTTCTCTGCCCCCTCTTTCTATTGCTTTTTTATTATTATTACTTGTTTTCCATCTGAATTATTCCTTTTCAGACCCTGTCGGAGCACAGTACCGTACAGCAGGCCCCAGTGGGCTGCCTGTTTCTCCACCAAGCGTTGCCCCCTCAAATCCTCAGGAACATGCGTCAAAATTAATAATTTGACAACTCGGGCTGATCACACATTTCCGGCGCTAAGTCATTGTGCACAAGTCTCCATCGTTGCGCCTATCTGAATGTTGCAGACATGGCCTGCAATAATCAGTCCAGCCCGGCCCTGGCCAGCTAGCTTTCCCACGACCCCCTTCATAGTCTCTCTCCCTCCTCCACCGCATCCTCTCTTCTCTCCCCGTCCAAGTCTGCCTTGCCCACTCAGGCGTCAAGGTAATTGCTTTCCTTGTGTCTACTGCGCCGATGCGGCGGGAAATGTACACAGGCGAGCGTCATATGGCTGAATCTCCTGTCGTCCTCTCAGCCGCTACACATGTTCGCCGCAATACTTACCCTGCAACAGCATTGCTGTTGAGTCAAAATACAGCTTTATATAATTTACATCCTTTCGTCTTGTTTCTTTGATATTAATATCTTTTTCCATCCGCCTGAGGTCTTGACTGTGAGGTTGCAAACAGATCCGACTCAATTTAGCCGGAGTTTGGAAAAGAACAAGTCAAGTGATTCACAGCTCCAGACAACATTTCTGCTTGCGATTGTGACAGAACAACTTCTGGTCATGAATTGGACCTCCGAATCCTTCTCGTCCGCTTCAGCCTATGTTCCCTCTTCATCTGATGACAACTCGATGATGATAGAGCCAACTCACGGTTACGCGACTGAGGCCTTCGCGCGTGCAAACTATCCCAGGAGTTCACAGCCACCTACTGGACTTGGAATCACTTACGTTGGTATGGAGGCTCAGTTCAGTCAGATGGGACTTTGCTCTGCTCCAGAAACACTGTCCCAACCGACGACTGACTGGCCTGATCAATTGATGCCGTCCGTTTTCGAGTCCTGTCTGGAGATTGAGAACCTTACCGCTGGGGCATGCTACGAATCCTTCCCTGTTCACCATGATGTGTCCGCCTCTCCCCACAGCCTTTATAGTCCCCAAACCCTAAGCGCATCACCGAGTTACTGTTCGACCTTGGATGTGGGAAATCAGGATACAACGTGCAGCCAGCCGTCCCATAGGTGGCCGGGTACGCCTTGTTCGGACAACACCACTCCTTTCGAGGGATGGTCCCATGTCAAGCAGGAATATGACGACTGCCCGGATCCACTTCTCTACTCTGAACCGAGCGATGCGCCTGGAGTCTGTACGTCCAGAGCAATACCCCAGCTGATGGTGAACGACACCTTTGCAGTCACAGCATCCCCTGAAAAAGAGGAGGGCGACACCGCTCTTAAGCCTGATCTTATATCAGAAGACGCCGTGGGCCACGGTCAGACGGCAACAATGCCTCAGCTCACCGCTCAGGCAGGCACAACGACATCAAATCATATTGACTCATGCAAAGTGCCCTCTGCTAACGGCCTCGTCTGTACCGTGTGTGGCACCCGCTTCACTCGACGCTCAAATTGCCGGGAACATATGAAAAGACACGATCCCAACTGCAGAAAACTCTACCCGTGCGAGGCGTGTGGAAAGACTTTCGGAAGAAGAACAGACCTGAAGAGACACGTGGATAGTGTAAGTCGACTTGGCCGGCTCGCTCTGTCTATTGCTAATACACGCGGAAAAAAGATTCATCATGGACTTCGAAAATTCGGTTGTGACCAGTGTGGCCGACGTTTCAGCAGGCAAGATACTTTGGCAAGGCAAGTTTGCACCTTGTGCCCCATCTTTAAACCAGCTCAGTTCTAAGTTCTAACACGGGCGCTTTTCAACAGACATAATGCATATGGTTGCCGGCAAAAGTCTCGAAGATCCAGTCCCAAGAAAGGCAAGGAACCTACCGGTTCCCCCGGCCAACTCAGTTCTTCTGGCTCGCCAGACATACATTCTCAACCCAGCAAATGATTTTGGATCGGCATCTGTCAAACAATTGGTGATTTCGAGCTCGACACGGCATCCCTGAAGAGACAACGACCTGGCCACGCAATTTGCGTTGACCGCATATTGCCGGTGGCCTACATACGACCTCTTAAAGTCTTCGTTTGCGAGGCTACTGCAAAGGTTCACGATCGACACTGCATACATTCTCAATAGAATAAGGAATACCCCGGAGCATTTGAGCATTTATGGGAGGCTGTTTTCTATGGCATTTTTCACTTACGCGAACGGTAGCAGAAGGCAAACCGAATATATACCGGCATTCTTTTCTCTCCATACTGATCGATTTTGTTTCTTTGATTGCTTGAATCTCATTGGCGAAGGGCACAAAGCAATTTTTTAGGCTGAGAATAACCGGCATAGCATAACATGTAAAGATAGGGGACCTGGCGTTGACCACTGCGAGGTATACGATTCGCGGGAAGCATTGATATTTCTGACCTTTAGCATCAGTTTAGACACAGCATCTGTCATATTTCAGTCCACTCAGCCAAAAGGGTGTCTAGACAACCATCTCCAGCTAGTAGGGATGATAGCAGTAGGCTCAACACAGGAGAGATACAACAGCATCTGCTTAGTTCAATCCTCGCGTGAGAGCACTGATTCACTGCAACTCATGACCCTCTCGACTTCGGAGTTCGGACCATCTGGCAGCCTTAGAGCTAGTTAACATATCATAAAAGGTCAAGATGTTCGTGCTACGTAGATAGGTAATTCCACTTTTGACAAATTCCACAGAATTCGGGATATTGTGGATGACCGGAAAAACTGAACTTGATCGCCGACGCCTTGGGGCTTTTCCTCTGACTGTGGCTCCGCTCTCGGATTTGGAATCTGCAACAAACAGTTCACTGGTGTGAACTGCAGCGAGCCAAATATCGTATCCTGGTTGCTGAAAGGAGTAAATACTAGTCTTGGCTTAATAATAGCGGTGATTTGTCTACTGATCTACTCTGTACCCAGCACTTCCAGTCTCAAATCACGTCCATCCTCATGTCGAGACTGACGTGATTCTGAGCGATGGGTCTAGAGTCTAGACTCATATAGGAATGTTCGCCCAAGCACCGAATTAGCCGATCGTTATATCAAGACGACGGAATCGGCATAGTGTAGACAGGCTGAATATGCTAGAGTTCATTTCCTTTGATACAGCAATCAACTTATCTTGTGCCCAGTCAGGCATGATTGTATCAGATACTCCTCCCGTTGGCAGTGGGGGTTATTGAAAATTCACCGAAGTACTCTGGAGTCGAATCTTTCCTTGCCTGTCATCGGAGGACAGGAGATTCGGAGTTCGGGGCTCACTACACGCCTAGATAGTCTAGTAAGGTACTTTCTCCGTAGACTAGTCCTTACACTACCGTTGAGCATTCCCCTACATGGACAATGATCTGCTGCTAAGCTGGAGTATCAGTTGTCACCTAGACTATGGCTTGTCAGACCACTGCATGTGAATACTAAATAGACCACATTTAGCCGATAATCCGGCAGTGAGAGTGCGAGCTCATCTTCCGCTGCCATACTCAATAATCCATACTTCGTCTTCGTAGTAGATCGTCGCATAAGTTACAGTCAGGGGAGGGGAGTTACCTCTCCGTCCGTACTGTCTGAAGCAATGTAACCCAAGACATTACGGAGTACAGCGTGCTTTACTGACGACCGGCTGAGAACATTGGGATC